AGTGTTTCCAGGTTTTCCATGGTAGCCTAGTTTTGATTGACTCAAGAATTCAACTATAAAATTATGGGATAGTTTTATTCAGGACTAAAATGCTAGCTACAAATATTTTTTTAGAAAAGACTTTGATATTTTAGATGACTATTGTGGTGCAATTTTAAACTTCTTGGTATTATATATTCTTGGTTATGTCAACCTTTTTAAACCATAAATCATTAGATAACTGTTTCATTCTAGAGTGCGAGACAGTTACTCACTTTTGACAATTGAAAATGGTTGTAAATGAACGTTAATTGATTGAACTTAGAAATACAGATTACTGGCTATTAATTTAGTATTCGAAAGACTAAGCGTTACTCACAAGGCCTTTGGATTTTCGGTTCGATCTTTATTGAAATTATAAATTCTTGCTGATGAATAGTCCCATACTAGGATGGAATAGCTGTACAATTTTATTCTAATTTATCGATGATTGTTTATCTAAGGTAAGTTCATAATCAAAATCTTATAATTTTAAATTTCAAGACAAACTTATACATGAACTATTATCAGTTGAAGAAACGTTGAGAGCAACAAAACTTTGGATAGCTGTGTCAACCTAATCGAGGACTTCTTAGTAAATGAAGCCAGTGGGATTGAAATTATTATCCTCATATACCGCACTAAGCATGATATCTTTATATCACTATGTAAGAACTCAAGAGTTTATATTTCTAACTTAAGTGAATTAAAAACTAGGCGCTACCATAAGCGGATGTTGTCGATAGGCGACTATCTCATTTCTAATACTATTGACAACATAAATCCCTTCTGAAACTTTAGAAAATTTGATAAGCCAACACAAATTTGTCCAGTTAAATGATTCGATTGTAAATTAAACTATCCAATATATTGATAAGATCATTTTCACTGAAAACTTAAGAATAATAAATATAGAAACAGTATAACAATTTGAGTACTTTTCTATTCGCAATCTAAATTGAAATAATTTTTATTACATAACTGTAGTAAGTGCTACTGATGTTGACAGACACAGGTAGTATGTATCACTAATCGAATATGGAATGCCTAAAGGCAGAAAGTTAAGAAGATCGAAGAGAAGAGAACGAGAGCAGAGAGTGATTGGTATGGAAATGAAGAAACAATCAAGTTTGAGACAATTGATTGACATTTTGCAAATGAAGCACTTACTGTATGGTTCTCAGATTTTAGTAATTGATTGTGTTATTTCGAGCATAAGGTTATTTGGTTGTCCCCACTGGTGTTCTCGTTCACTACAAACCGACGTGTTTTATTAATAACTAACATAAACAATAGAAGGTTGTTAATGCTAATTTAAGTGTCGATTTACTGACTTTGAACAATTGTTCATAAAAATAATAATAATAGTAATCCTACAACAGTATTGACTTAAATAGGTAAATTACATTCTGGAAATAATTTGAGAATGAATGCCAATTTACAGGGATTATCAGATTGATACAGAAAACATTAGATATGAAGAACATCTTGTTAAAGTATGAACAGTGTATCTGGGATCCTTTTTAGCACTACTACCATGTAATTGTAGTCCTCTGCAACTAGAGGTTAAAAACAGAGCACTGAACAACAACAACGAAAATTCTTGTGATAGATTTACTGTTATTCATGTGCTAGGTCGCTTAATTTACTATTGATTTAGATAAATATCATCTAAATTAATCTAAATAGCCAAGGACAGTACAAATACGAAATACTTATATTAAGATAAGGTGAGTGAGTATGCTCAGTGGAAACAATGATCAGACATTTAATGTCCCTATAATTTCATTGGTGTTATGAGATGTAATCATTGGTTTTAGTATTGTCAAAGCAATTTCAAAAGAGAGAAAATCATTATCGCAGAGAACAAATGATGATGATGGCAAGGTCCTAGAGTTTAAACTAGTAATAATAGGATAAAGCCTGACAAACTTGGGGAATTCTTATTTCTCATTATTATGAAAAGTGATTTGAGCATAAATTGTACGTTTGGCTAAACTACTCGGTACTCGGCTTGCATATATTTGGCCTGTAATGACTTTTAGTGAAATATACGAAATTGGAAATTTGTAATAAATGTTATTAGATTATTATTGATGATAGATAGCTTTATGGATTGTTTGAAGGTACCTATCACTAAAACTGATACCAGTCAGAAGACTCCTGAAAATACTGAAAGATTATTTCGCCCTGTTTTAGGACTCTTCATCAGTACATATTTATGAAACACTCATAACCACGTCGGGGATAAAAATATATGACATCATACATTGATTAAAATGACCAACCGAAATTTTAGTTTTCTTACTAAATCAAAAATGGATTGTGGCTAGCCGTGGAATTCAGGATGTGAGTCTCGTCCTGTTTGGAACTCGTCAGCTGAATGTACTTTCATCTCAGAGTTTATGTTCACTCTGGAACTCGAACGCAGTACCGTCCACTTTGGACGCTATCACATTATCCACCTAGCTACAGAATCCTAGAGTAAAAACCAACATTAACACCGTTGGATGCCAGTTCGCGCGCTAGTCCGAAGATCTTGGTTTCGAATCTCGCAAGGCAGGATTGTGAATGCACACTGCTGAGGAGTTCCATAATAGAACGAAACAGCTGTCCAGTGCTTCCAGGTTTTCAATGGTGGTCTAACATCAATCGGTTCGTGATTTCAATAGAAAACAATGAACTTATATTTTATTCACTTAATAAAAACATAACATAAATATTTACAGCAGGACTGCTACTGTTTTCTGTTTTTTTAAAGGCATAATAACGTTTCAAACCAATGTATCACACAACCTTCTGTACACAATTCATAAAGTTAAGGTAGATAAACAGATATTAGTCCAATTTAGCAATATTTCATTCTACGGTGACATGTCATTAATTATATTGTTTACACTTTTCTCTATCCTGTCTCAACGTCTAAAAATAATAGTCAATGGGAAAGCTATTATAATGACATTTGTAAAACATATTCAGTCTAAGTAAAGCGATGATTTGAAATTGGCGCCTAAATAAATAGTACTATTCAAATAAATTACTACCATGTTAAACATAAAGTCATTAGTCCGTGAACTTTTTTTGAACGAGGATACACCTTACTCCAATTGGATTTGTAAATGAAGTTGAATTGTGTTGTATAGAACTTTTAAAGCAGAAAATAATAATGGTGACGTCGACATATAAAATTGTTTTAAATGTAGCGTCAAGATTAATTATTGATAAGATATAAATATATACAAATATCAACATTAATATAAGTAATATACAGATTGAAATCGTGAGCCAATTGAAGCTAGACCACCATGAAAAACCTGGAAGCGCTAGACGGTTGAAGTTAGACATTAACACCATTGGATGCCGGCCGGCTAAGTGGTCCAGTTGGTTGGGCGCTTGGCACGAAACTGATAGGTCCTGGGTTCGAAGTTCGCGCGGTGGGATTGTGGATGCGCACTGCTGAGGAGTCCCATACCAGAACGAAACGGCCGTCCAGTGCTTCCAGGTTTTCCATGGTGGTCTAGCTTCAATTGACTCATGATTTCAATCTGTGAAATTTCTAAAATCTCTACAAACCCCTTCTGATAAGTAATATAGTAAACATTATTAGAAAATTCTTACATACACTCACTTATATGGGTAATAAATAAACAATTGAAGAAGAGGAGGAAAAAGACTATGGTTGATATTGTTCCAACTAAAACACAACTCATTCATTAAATAATGAAACAAAATGAAATACAGAATTTTTGCTTTAGCTTAAAGGATGTTTGAATGAAAAGCACATGAATTGACTAATTATCCCTTTAATAAAAAGAAAAGGAAGTGACATGAAATTTACCAAAAGTTTCTTCCCTTTTTCATAGCCAAGAAGATTTTCATTTACAAGTACAGGGGTGAATAACATGTCGGTGTTTGAGATGACAAGTGCAGGATTTAAGTCCAAGTGTAGAAATCAATATTAGAATGAAAGCATATCTATTTGACAAGTAGTAAATGGAATATAGTACTCATTCTAAGGTCTACCTTTGATTAAAAACATGATGTTTACATTATAGAAACCAATTTACATATCTACTTATATAATTTACATATATGAAAAACATCAAATGGCGAGTAATGAATGTGATCATATTTCTATTTATACATAATTATTATTCTTTTCAAGTGTAAATTGTAATGGTAGAATGTCATATAACCAAGCGAATCAGTATTTATATGGCACTAAAAAAAAAACTGTTTAATCTTCCAAATTAAATTACACAAACTGTACTATTCATGTATCAGTATAATAACACCTATAATTAATAATTTAATAATTGAATTCATGAGTTAATTGAAGCTACATTACCATGGAAAACTTAAAGCATCAGACAACTGTTTCGTCCTAGGATGGGACTACTCAACACTGTGCATTTATGATCTCACCTCACGAGATTCACTATTCAATATTTCAAAGACACTAATCTGATTACTCTTATATTTTTCATTATGAGAATTTATACAGATTGTAGTATTTTCATAGTTTGAAATCACAAGTCAACCTTTTTTTCTCTTCTTCTCCATTAATCACCATGACTAGTTTTATTATTTTTTTTTTTTTGATTTTTCACTTAGAAACAAAAACATGAAAGAGTAAATGATTGAGTAGTAAGTTGGTTTTCGTTGTTGTTGTCGTCGTTGATTAATTTTAAATAATACATTTCTGATTGTTCATTTATTTGTTCAAAATGTAAAACAAACGAACAATACCTATATAGATATATGTATATGTATATATAAACTGCATGCAAAGGATATATATATATATATATATATAGAATTATGTAGTACAAAAACTCAATGGCGTCTTCTTTAAAAATGTTCAATGTTCAATACATAAAAATTTGGCGGAACATTTTTTTTTGGAAAATCTTCATTAACTACAAATAATAATAATAAATTATGAATTTTTATTATTTAAATTATACTTATGTATATGAGGTAGAGAATACCGTTTATAAGAGAAGTTTTAATCATGATAATAATAATAATGGTAACAATAATTGTAACAAGAAATGAAATGTATGGATAGAGAAGAATTAAAAGTGACATATAATTAAAAAAAAAGGAAAAAAGATTAGTAAATTACATTCACCTATGTAGTTAATAAAAAAGTTTTTGTTTTGTTTTTTTTTGGAAAATGCCCCACATACATCGTTTTAATTAAATAACAAGAACAACCATGACAACAACTAAATTATCGATTTTCAATTAGTGATAGGAATGAATATTGAAATTGTAAACAACTACATAAGAAAACAAATGGAACAAATAGAAATATGTTAAATTCTTGAAATTAAAACAGAAAAAAATTTTTTTTAATTTTAAAATTAAATTATGAACATGAACATGAACAACGATCACTAATTAAATATTTTTGTACTTGCCAATAACAATGATATCCATTAGCTGTTACACTGAGACGTTTAATTAGACGTCTAGCACGACGTCGACGTTTTTCATCTTTTGAATTTGTATCTAAGTGTAAAGAGGATGATGGAGATGATATTGATGATGATGAAGATGATGATGATGATAATGTTGATGGTTCAGATGATTTTATATTTGTCCATGATGTTTTAGTATCATAATGTGAATTACCTAGATTACGTGCTTGTAATTTACGATATGAATTAATATGTTGTAATGAATTATCTTTCAAACTTAAACGTGCATAAGTATCACGTTTATGTTTCGATTTAATAATATCTGTAACAGGTTCCATTTCATAAAATCCTGAATGAAATGTATTCATTGATACACGACGACGTATACGTTGATCAGCAGCATGTTCTCTAGTTTGTACTTGTGCAGCATCTTCACATTTCCAATGTAATAATTGTAATGCACGTGAACCAGATGGTCGACATTTCATACCAGATGGCCATGAACATGAATGTCCAGGACGATTTAAACATACACCTCTACGTATCCAACGTGGCCAAAATAATGGTCCTAAATCTTCCCATATAAAATCCATTTCACATGTAGCACGTTCAATTAACCAATAACGATATGGTTGAATTTGTTCATCAGTTAAAGTAAAATATACACCATATGAATTACGAAATGTAAAATTCAATTCTCTAATCTCTTTTAATAATTTAGCATCAAGTGATGTATAACTTTCTTGATTATTTGTATTAAATGAACCAGATATTCCACGTTGTCTTAATACTCTTGGTGGTGTTTCAGATGTCCATTCTTTATCTAAACTACCAGATAAAATTTTACGTAATTTTTTTATTTTATGTGGTGATACATCTGGATGTAAATGATTAACAACACTTGGATCAATTGGTTGACCCATAATACGCATATTAATTTTACTATATTCTTCTGATGCTAATGATGTTGGCCAATCAGTTATTGGTTGATTATTTTTATATCGTTTCATATCATCTATTGAAGAGATTAATGAATTACTTAAAACTGGTGAATTATGCTTTATTATATTCAATGGAGAATTTGTTGTATGTGATAATGTATCAAGACTAATACGATTTTGTACTGATGATACTAAACCTAATCCACCAAATTGATTGGTTAATTTAAAATTACGTTCAACGGGATTCGATATGTTATATAAGAAATTTGTTGATGTTGACAATGGTGAATGTGATTTATTTTTAAATGATGATTTTGACATGGTTTGTATGTTATTATTATTATTATTATTATAACTAGGATCATCATTAACAGTATTATCTGATTGTACATTTGATGTGTGCAAATCGAATGATTTATCTGTATACTTTGATTTCATATCAGTGATAGCGATCACTTGTGTAATGAAATAATAATTTGGTCCAATGAATGGTGCATTACAATAGAGTAAAACAAGTAATAATGTATATAATTGGAACGTTTTCATTTTGTTATCTTCCAGAAATACTTTATTTACTAATATATGTTATTACTCCAGTGAATTCAGTAAGATGTATCCAAGAATTGATTGATTCTTGTGTTTATTTTAATTTGTCCATATCAAGAGTGTTCTTTCCGTATTAAGCGAAAACAAAAAAATAGTTCTGATAGAATGTCACAGAAATAAAATGTATGGAAGGTAAATGTAGTAGATCATGGCAATGTGTTCAATTCTCATGTGTATATGATTTCGATAAACAGAGAACAGCTGATTATTAGTTAAATATATGTATATTGTTTTTAAGAATATCTAATAATTAAACACTTGTATAAAATTATATTGAATGAATAGAATATCCTGATTATGTTTACATATATATATATATATTTCTCTTTATCATATAGTTTATCACCTTTCTTTTTCTCTTGTTATGTGATAATTAAAACAAACAGAAAACGTATTTCCTTTCAAGCATCTATTTAAATTACCAAATAGATTTTTCTGGTCAATTTTAAAACATTACGGAATGTGTGTGTGTGTGTGTGTGTGTGTGTAAAATGAAGTAAACATCATACTAACCTGATTGTCATTACTACTAATACGACTACTACTACCACCACCACCGTCACTACTATCTTTAACCACACAGATTTAATGGTTTTTGTAGGAAGGTGAAAAATGGCTACTTTTACAAATATTATTAACAATTTGATTGGTCAGAATTGGAAATAATCTACACATATATTAACCAATCACTTTTAAGACGACCAATGAATATCACATATATATATATATATATTTTTTCTCGTTAGTGTGTTTCTCTTTATTTTTTATGTTTATGAAATGTTTGTCAGTTAATGTGCATAGATACAAAAAAAGTCAACATTGAAAATAAAGATAATAAATTAATCTTGTTCAAATAGAACAAATTTAAAAGATAAAGTTTTATCCGAATGTAATAAGAAAGTAGTACAGATTCAATTAACAAGATAGAATGAAGGTCAATAGGATTGAAAATTTTTTTAGATTATACATATTCATAAAGTTTCATCGGTTGATGAAGTTAGTCTGTGTATTTATTTTCGAAATATTCATAACTACATTGTAATTGAATTGATGACAAATGTTTTAGTTAAAGTGAACAAGACAAACTCCAATGCCAAAAGGTTTATCATATGTATACGTTAATTTTTATGTATCGATAAATTAAGTTATCTTCTCGATAGTTCCTTCTTTTTATATTTTATCAATTGATAAACAAAGATGGATGGTGGCTAGCAGTAAGATCTAAGACGCGCGTTTCGTCCTATTTGGGACTCGTCAACTAGATGTATGTGACTTAAGGTAATATCGAGACAATCTGAATAGGATGCACTCACAATTGATTGATCACTGGGCGGTGATCAATGTCATGTGTGTCAAGTCATTACTTAGTGCAGATCGAATGCTATCGACTATTTTGCAATGTGGCCACCAGTCTAGGTGACTCGACACTGCTTGCACTATATATTGAGATTAGATGGTGGTTGGAGGTAGTCGACAGGAAACTATGGACCCGGGTAACTCAGTGGTAACGGCTGTGACTGTGAAGCTGGGTGACACGATATCGAATCCTCCAGGGAGCACCAGTTCCCTCAAGATTACACGTACACCTTGCTGACGAGTGCCAAGTAGCACGAAACCCGGGTCCAGGGTTTCCTGTCGACTACCTTCAACCACCATCTAATCTGAATAGGATGCACATATGTCAATAAGAAATTAATCAATTTCAGTCCTAAGCATCAATGGAAAGTTTTAAGCAAACAATACAAAATGAATGATAAATGAATACTAACAATGAATCTTCAATATAAAAAGAAAGGTTAATCGGATTCAAGACAGCGACTTTTAGTTTTTAACGCAAAAACAAACTGTTACGATCTGACATCACTGAAGTTGTTCGAATCTGTTGGTATGTAAACAACATGTATCGTATCCGAAAATTTCTGTTAATTTATTGGTTGAATGAAGTGTACTAAATATTTTTTTATCGGCATTTTTTCAATTCAGGCCATCATCTCTATGATGAGTTTATTTTTTCACTATTCGAAATATCAAATACAAATGAAAACATAAAAAAATATTACCACTAGAGAACGTATGACATCGAAAATACTTCAGATCAATTACAGTCGATTAAAGAGTAACATCAATTAGGTCAGGTTCTGGTTAGAATAAAAAAATTCTTGTAAGCTCCTCCAATAAACCATAAAATAATGCGCTTAATTTATGAAAATACACTACAAACATGAAAACTATTGCACAACACAACTATTTCATAATAAAATGGAAACAATTGTAGCAACATCACAAATTAAACAGCAAAGAAACAGAGAGGGAACAATACTATCTAATATAGCTTACAAAGATGGGAGACAAAAATGGTAATTCCCATTATTAATGCATGAATCTGATTGATTGCTAAGATTTAAAGGGGATATTTTTTACAATTTGACGATAGGTAACATTAGTAGTTAATAATCACCTTCTTATGAACTCTGAGGAAAGTGGTCTTATTTAGCGCTCGCTTTGTTGAGGGTTATTGTAAGAGTCTTTTATGTAATCTTACACGAGTTATGAATTCGAAATTACACAGAATACTGACTCTTTCTAGTATCGATTCAATTAGAAGCATATTTTCTCGCGAATTTGTTCCTTTTTCCTTCGTATAAGAATTAAACTCCCTGCTAAATTATGTGATCATTGATAGATTGAATAACAATCATTTTTGTGTGATAGGAATGATTAATAATAACTAAACATTTTCATTTTTATGATTCTCGGATTGTGACTTCGTAAAATCTTTTCATCAGCATTACGACGAGTCTTCATACAGAGATTGAGGAAATAATGAGAAATTATTTGTAAGAGTTTGAATGATAAGAAATTTACCAATAAAATGGGTTTTCGTGAATTGAATTAGTCACTATCACAGAAATTAGGTCTGGTTTAAGATAGGGAAAACTGATCATGAACCTTTGGAAAAGTTCTTCAATCACTTAAAACCATAACGAATATTTAGCTTCCGTTAGTTTTATGGTGAAAGATTCTTGGTCTCGGTATTTTGTCTGATCATTGGTTAATAGGAGGGATAATATTATTAATGTCGAAGTCAGTATCACTCATGGTCTTTGTTGTCTTACGGGTTCACTATACTGGATCAAGAACTATTTGGGGAAATGTTGTGGATCGAATAGCACTGAAAAACTATTTCATCCTAGATTGAAACTTCTTAACAGTGTTTAATCATAACATCTCTTGATATCAAACCTCAGACCTTGATGTTTTGTAGCAAATACTGCATTTTCAGGAAGCCATATTTTCCACTAGTCTTTTGGTCGTAAAATCTATAAAATATCAAATAAATGAATAACGTAAGTTATTATCCCAATTTAATAGACTGCAAGATACACAAAAGATCTTCAAAATAACCCAAACATAGATTTCAAAATAAGGATCTGTGGGTTTAGGTTTTAATCATTAAGGTGGATACTGCTAGAAAGCTCTATGCTAGGAAGAAACGTCTGTTCACTGTTCCCTGGCTTTCGAATGTTATCTAACTAAGTTTAGTCCCTAGTTTAAGCCATAAAATTACTATTCACTTAGATATTTTGAAAGGGTTGACAAAGTACGTCGACAGTTTACGTTATGAATTGATTGACAATTATTGAGGAGACGCAGGAAAACACAAAATGTCTTTAACCATTTCTATCATTGTGATTTTGGACATCACAATAGGACTTCATACGTAATTAACAGAAAACCAACTACTTGTAGGTAGTATGTAATAACTTTTTCATTCAAATTACATATCAGTTTGACTATAGTAATCATCCACAGATCAGAAGTTTACCATGACCTTGTGCTCATTACTTTGACATTGATTCTATCGTATATTAAATCTTACCCAACTCATTTCTTTCTTCATCAACCTGATAATTGTATCGATCTTTGAAAAAACCACAATATTTTTTTTTGGTTTTCAAGTTATGGAAAACATTTCACCTTTAAATACTCAGTGTTATGTCAATTAAACTAACGATGTTTATTGTTGGTCTAGTTTATAGAGTATCTAACATCAATTAAGATAATCAACTCTTTCTTTGTTGGTTGATTTGTATACATAAATAACATTGTTTTTGAAAAAAAAAACAATTTCATCGTAACTAATTATATACACAAATACATACAATAGAAAAGACATTGGATAAAGAAAGTGAAATGTATGAAGGCATTGAAACATTGAAATATCTGTCTCCACTTTCGAATAAAACTGAATAATTTTAAATGAAACAATTAAAATATAATCTAAATCTATTTCTTGTCTAAATGTAAGTGATTAAGTGAATTATAATAAAAAAAAACCAAATAGAATAGAACAAAGAAATTCATATTAGAAGGGGTTATTGTGGATATTATAGTAATTTTAATAGTTGAATTCATGAATCAATTAAAGCTAAACTATCATGGGAAAACCTGAAAGCACCGGATGACTGTTGTAGGACTCCTCAGAAGTGCGCATCCACAATCTCGCCTCTCTTCAAGAGGTATTTTCTGGAGTTCTAGTGAGAAACAGTGACCAGTGGAGTTCAACCGAGTCTGTTATGAGACAGTAACTCATTGAAAACAATGGTGGACGGTGGCTCAATTTCGTGGATTGTTTGAGGTTAGACATTCACACCATTGGATGTCAGCTAAGTGGTCTGGAGGTGAAGCGTTCGCGCACGAGCCTGATAGGTCCTGAGTTCGAAACTCACGGGGCGGGTTCGCAGATACATACTGTTGAGGAGTCCCATACCAGGACGAAACAGTCGTCCAGTGCTTCCAGGTTTTCCATGGTGATCTAGCTTCAATTGTATCATAATCTCAACTATTGAAAAGAAATTAATTTTGAGATAAGCCTGTTGAAATAAATTTCACTTCTTGGTTCGAATGATTATTATACTTTTCAATTTTCAGTAATGTCAATATATTGTTGTCAATTTTCGCGTTGATTACATATAATATGATAGACAGAATTTTCAATTCTTTGAAATATTCGTTAGTCAATGGTTGTTTCCTGTACAGTGTCATTAGAATGAATTTGGCGATTGCTTTCATGAGTCGATCTAAGCTAGACCACCACTGAAAATGTGGAAGCAGTGGACGGCCGTTTCGTCCCAATATGGGACTCCTCAGCAGCGAGCATGTTTAGTAACGTGAGTGGGATTCGAGCCCACGCTCACAAAACAGACTGTGACTTAAACGTAGCGCCTTGGACCTCTCGGTCATCCTGACCACAAACCTAGTGCTCACTTCTGAGGAGTCCCGCACTAGGACGAAACAGCCGTCCACTGCTTCCACGTTTTCAGTGGCGGTCTATCTTAGATCGACTCATGAGTTCAACTGTAAAAACTACTACAATCTCCACAAATCTTCATTCTGACGGTAAATTATCAGTTTTGATAATCTCATTTACTATAATAATATTGTCGACCAATTTTGAATTACTACAGTGTAGTAATTCTCAGATATCTACATAGTACTTCCAACTTAAAAATGCCGAATACGTTAACTTTGCAATTGTTTAATGTTTAACTGATTGATGTCATGTTGACGCTTTTAAATATTTTGAAATTACTC